CCACTACACACACACTCCCCCTCCCAACCAACCCTGTAAAAGCAAGGAGGCTTTTCCGTATGAATGGTGGCAAGTGTTCGTTTTCAAGAAGTGTTTAAAAATTCAACGCAACACAACTTGAAAGTGCAGGCAACAAACCTGAAACATAATCCACCTGCCCTTTTACAGCCTCTTACTTTCAAGTTTCCGTGCACCTTCGGCGCATCTAAGTTTGGGTTGATCGTGTCACCTTCATACACTAGCGTGCGTGGACAGTCACCGCTCACCCGGCCCCTTCTTTTCTAGTCGATGGAGTCCACGGGGCATCCACGCGCGCTTTGGTCAGCACTTCACCACTGCGAAGCACCATGCGTTGATCTTCAGTCCGAAACTTCTCACCTGCACAGCCTTGTGAAACTTCTCTTGCACTAATTACTCGGCCTCCCACTGAGCTCACTTTCGGACTCCGGGATCTAGACCGTTGCCTCTCAGGGTCCTTCGATCATCCCAATCTAATCCTGGCGGCAACTACTCCTGGCAGAAGTTCATCCTTGGTCCCTGTTGTTGGGGTCCAAGCACGACTTACTCCCTTGCCAAAGGGGTTACGGGCCCAATCTTTCAGCATGCCGAGCTGAGGCGACGAACCGCGCACAAATCATCTCACACGAAAATTTAAATTCAAACGAGCTCGCTAAGGTTGAATGGAGCCCACTAAGGCTGATGTGCAACCAACTAAGAGGCACGCGCGGGCCCACGACTAAGCCTATACGCATCAACAAAACGGACGGGTATGCACTCAAAAGAAAAACCCAGGCGCAGGACCTTTCAGAGAGTCGGTTTTTCCCTAGTTTTGGCCCCTGCTCCCTCCCTGACGGAGTCGCCAAAACTCGCTCTATTTTGTCATGACGTCCGGGGCCAAGCTCGGTAGAAGTTCAAATCCCTTTTCGGGACTGACAGCCTCTACCGACTAAGCTTGTCTGGGATTACATTGAGGGTGCCAGCTATAGGTGTTGTGGGACAACGGCCACGAGCCCTTGAAACTCAACTTCCAAGAAAATTTCGGCTGCCAGCTGGGTCATGATCGGACTCCCTGCTTTGTACGTAAGTCAAAGCTGTGTGCAAGGTAGAGGTGTTGTCTCCTCTAATCGCAACTTGCAAGGCACCGGCGCGGTATATCTGGCGAGCGAAGACCCTGAGTGCAACAAGCATTGCCAACAGCTCATACTCGGACTGAAAGGCCGGGTCCCCTCGCACAGAACCGAATAGTTGAAAGTCCCATCCTTGAAGTTCTTCTCCGAAAGGCGATGCATCCGTCTGCACCACGATCGTGGCTGCACGCGGTCGCCACTTGTGCGCTTCGCAAAGGCCGAACCGCCCATGACGCAGATGCATGAGGGCTTTCAACCACCAGAGCGCATTGTCTACTTGGCGCACGAAGACAAGCCCTTTCCTCCGCCTAGTTGCGTCTTTCACCGGATCTCGTGAAGACAGTCAGCCGAAGGACACCCACCGCCTTGCAGCTCATCCAGCGTTGCCAGAAGCTTGTCTCTCTTTGCCTCAGCCAACTGAATCTGCAGATCATGTCCTTGCGGCCCACAAAGTTCAAGGTTGAAGCCGATCCAATTCAAATTTCTGCCTCTGACAACCTTGTTCCATGAAATCTCCAGACCTAATGCAGTCCAAATTCCCACATACGTCAGGAGGTGCTTTAAGTGCTCATGCGACAGGTTTGCTGTCGACACAACCAGCGGGTCATCAATGTAATGATGTCCGTCTCATACGACAACATTGCCGATTGCGCCACTCGCATGGCTGCAGCAGCCAACCTTGGCCAGATCAAAGGTCCAGTTGCCACTCCAAACACAATGCACTTGCTAACGTAATACCGTGGTTGGCCCCACTCGTCGTCAAGACCCTTCATGACTACAAAGCCTCTTTCGCCCTAACGAAGCGGCAGCAGGTTGAACGCATCCTTGAAGTCTAAGGCAAACATCTCCACGTAAACGTGCCCTGATTCAGCGGCAGCTTGATTGTTGCTAAGCAGCTGTTGCAGACCCATGCCCACGTCACTATTTCGTGGTAGATTTACCCTTTCCCGACAGACAATCATGCCGTTGACTCCAGATCTCCTTCCATCCAAAGAATCAACCGTGCTTTGACTGCGCCGTCCTCTTTGGTCTTCACAAGACAACCTACTTTCGTGAGCCGTGAGCCATCACCAAACTGGTCAACGACACTTCGCCACGAATGATGAAAGACCTCTGCGCGGCCCTTCTCGACCATTTGGTCTAACAGCCCTTGCGCCCAAGTGGACTCCTCCATGAAGCTTCTGTAGTTCTCACAATCCCCCATGTAATCCTGAAGCACCTCGCCTTCAAGCCTGGAGGCTTCGACTGCTGCCGTGTCTTCATGTGTTTGCGGAAACACACGGCTATGCTCAATGTTGGTCATGATTCCCAAAGGAAATCCTTCTCATCCACCTTGGCAGGATTGAACACTCTGGGTCTCCAGCATCGCGAAGGATTGCCTCCAGAGCTCCACAGGCCATGCGTCTGCTTGGCAGTCAACTCTGAATTCCTCGGCAAGCTTTTGCCTCAACTCCTCGATCTGCCATTTCTCAAGTCCTGACGAGATGTCCTGCTCGAACTGCTGAACTAGTAACTAGCGACCTGGCAACTGCCCTCTTGGCATGTCTGAGGCCACCGATCACCTCGCTGTTCTCACGGATACTCCGCAGCGAGAGACGCACGCCAGACCATCTGTTGATCCGCATACGACCACACCATGCCAACTAAGCCACCTTTCAGATGGTAGCGCTTTCGTACTTGATGGCAACATGCGCACACCGTCTTCATCCAGCCCTTGCCCTTCCCTGCGCCCTTCTGCTGACATTGGGAATTGGGATGAGATCCAAGGCAAAATTGGCAACAATGCGTCCTCTGGTTGGGACATGGATCACTGCACGAACCCACTGGGCCTTTGGCGAATGTAAAGCAGATCTGATTCCCATCCCTGTCCATCTGGAACTAGGGATGTCCATCACCGTCTCCGCTCGATGCAGCTGACCCTTTTCCAGTGTTCCGCAGCCACGGAGGGTTGCCAAACCTCTGCCGACGATTGTCCTCCTGCAGCTTCTCAATCTTCGCTTTGTCTCTCTGCCTTCTCTTGGCCGTCTTGGACAATCCTTCGCCTGAAGGGCGGTGCATAGCCGCAGCTGCCGCGTCACTGAACTGCGAATCCTCTGCCTCCTTCTGAGTCATGGATCGACCTGTAGCCGATGAAGCACCCCCTCTGGCCAGAAACGTCTGGGTGGGTCTGACAACTGTTCTGTCCCAACACTCCTGGCATCGAGCAGCAAACTGCATCACCCCGATCCATGGCCTGAAGGGGTCAAAGTCAAGGTTCATCGGCAAGCGGCCTTCTGTTCGTGCACGAGTGAGCTTTCTGTGGAAACGTTCAAACTGCTCGCCTCGACAGCGATCTTCTGCTTGCATCACTAAATGCCAGGCTTCTGGAAACTCATCACGCAGATCAGACACCCGATTAAAGTATACTCCTCCAAGGCCGCAACTGTCATCACGGGAGTTGTAGGCCTCCCCAAGGCTGTATTCGCCGGGTGCTTCAACATCAGCAACACTGTCTTGTAGATCTTCCAGCACGCACACCATGCCTGGTATGTAGGTAGGCCAGGGATCTCGACAGATTTCCAAGAACCATCTCGCTGCAAAAGAAAGTGCCGAGCTTCTGATTGCTTTCGCATCCGGCGGCCATAGGGAGTGAGTACCGAAAAGTCGGCATAGGGAGCCTCACTCCTAACCAAGACCTTTGTATACATTGCAGTAATTTGCTCCATTGAGGGATCCGACTCTGGGAGTGGATCAGCCCCCGCTGCTTCACGATAATTCCTGTCCCTGGTCAATGTCCGTGGTGGGCAGCAAGGCGACCTCTGTCTCATCCAGCTGGTCCACTGCTGAAGACTTTTTCACCTTCTTGGGAGAAGGGGCTTCAGTATTCGATGTCACCGGCCTCGTAACAGAGGGTCCACATCCGGTAAGCCGAACACATGATCTCAACTGCACACAACTCTCTCTCGAGAAGGGTAGCAGTAGCAGGAGTTCGTGTGCGAGAGGTAGCAGTGTGGAGAGTGCCCATCGGGAGAGTAGCCAGGAGCCGCAGGGTCGTCTGGCCTCCCAGGGTGTTGTCAAAGGCCTGCCACACAGCCGGCTCAAGGCCAACCCAAGTGACCACACGCTCAATCGTGTCCAGCGTGGCGATCTCGGTGTCGGTGGGCAAGAGACTTCTGGCCGCCATACCCCAGGCCTGCAAAATCAGACCGGCCTAGCAGCCTAGCAAATGAGGCGTCAACGCCACTGTCGGCCGGGGGGTATACAAGGCAGCACCACACCAAAGCTCTACCGCACAGCCAACCCAAAATGAATGCCAGCAGCAGGAACCACTCCAGGTACATGGCAAACAAAAGGGTTGCAATGGATGGGCCCTTGAGCCAAAATGGTATTCACAACACCAATGGCTCAAGTTTCGTTTGGTGTGTTTCCTTTCACCATTATATGGTTCCAAGGAAATCCTTGATCCAATCGACTTAGGACTTCTTCGCTCAAAATCGATTCTCAATAGGGAGGCCATTGGCCATTGTTGATGGAAGAGTTCGGATGGGGGGTCCCCCAAGGGTTGGCTTTTCCCAGCTTGAACGGAAGTAGCATAGGTTGTCTGACCCGAAACGAACCCAATCAGAACTGACTTTGACCCATTCGACCCGCTGAAAGCTGTCCGGAACATCCGTGACGGTCGACCGGGGACGGGTGCATCGTGCGTTCTCCCCGCCTGAGCTGGACGAGCGCCCGCGAAGCAATGGCGACAGTCCTGGCGACCGGGTTTTCCGTCGCCGTGTATCGTCCGAGCAAGCGGTCCTTCCGTGACCGATCCATCCATGGAAAAAGAAGGAACAAATGATCTCGTTGTGAAGATGTCAAAAGAATTAATCTTATGTTATTGTTTTCCGTCGTGATGTCATTTGATTCTTGTGCTTTCGTTTTACTGAGTGCTTGGGATCAATGGAGGAGATCTGCTTTCAGCCGAGCGCAGTTGATGGATTTTGATGAGAACGCGAATCCACAAAAGGAAGGAACTTCTGGAAAGGTCTGAAAAATGAATTCCTTTCTCAAACATACTACAAGTTTGCCCAGACTTCTAGACTCTTCAACTTCTGCAAAACCCTTGAACCAGAGCAGAGTTCAACCTACTGTAACTATAAATATATATATATATTAATGTTGTTTCTCAAGAACGCCGTGGATGAGGTCGAAAATATTCGAAAATAGGGTCCTTCATTCATGTTGAAACCACCGGCCGGAACTTCCAACGAAGCACTTGGGGGTCCTCCTTCGATACGTTCTTCTTGTCCATCTTTATTTGGTGATCCTTTCCACAGTTCCTACTGTAACACCCACCTGAATGGAAACTCCTCAACCTTCTTGTAGCTTCTCGTGGGTTGCAAGTTAACTCAAGAACAGCAAGATCCCTCACATCAAACCGCCAAACATTCCTTGCCCGTTTGGACATCTTGGCAGGAACGAGCTTCACAAGCGGCAGCGCGTCCTGTTGAGGTCGAAGAACATGCTTCGTGAAGCAGAGGTGACATGCCTTGCACATCTCTCGGGGCCGAGCTGGCACGGATTCGTCTCCCCAGCTGCGGCGCGAAGGTCCCCGAAGGAGAAAAGCCAACGGACCCTCCGGTTCTTGCTGGACCCTCCAAGATCCGTATTTCATCAGAGATGTGAGGCGAGGGTCCAAAGTCCCAAAGCATACTAAACAATGGTGGCTTGTGCCACAAGCCTGACCACTTCATGCGAAGCCATGCAAAGCCATGGCTTCAGGTAAGAGTGTCACTGATTGGGGGGTCGCCATACCCCAAAATCGTTGATGCAGCCGCTGCATTCCCCTCTTAATCCTGGGTCCATCTCTGATCGGTTTTGACCGTTCACGTGGCCGAGACGGCATTCCTTCCAACTGTGCGAAACGACGGCATTCCCTCCAACGGCTGTGCGTTTCAACCCCGATCGTCATCGCGTAAGCCCTGCCCACACACGAAACGCCTGAAACGAGGCTGTCCATCTGCGCCCCATACACTTTGGTTCCATAGCCTGCACGGGCCCAGACACCTCAACCCTTGAGGCATCTGTCTTGGGGCAAAAAGGGTTGGTTTCATCGCTGCCATCTGGGCCAATTCAACGACCCAGAAATCGGGAAACAAACCCAGTAACCGCTCCAACCGGATGGAACCAATCCAACGGAACCCGCGCCACTCCGAGAAGGACAAACACCGCAGCGCTCCCCTCCGCTCCCCTACCGTCGGACGGCGCGTTGGGGGGTCCTTGATCCCTCTTCTGCAGTGGTCGCCGATGGTGCGCACCTGGGGGGGACGCGGAGCGACCCATCACGTCACCGACACCGAGCGAACGGGAGAGCCGGAGAGCCGGTGAACGGGGGGGGGAGCGCCGGAGAAACGCCAGAAACCACTGAAACCGCCGTGGAATTGCCAGTGAACGTGCAAGTACCTCACACGTTTGATGGATAAAAGTGTGCGGGGGGATGAAACGACGGACTCCTGATCAAAGCATAGGAAACCAACCAACCAACCAACCAACCAACACAAAAAGCAAACCAGCCAACCCAGCCCATGGCAAACCAAGCCTGAAAGAACCAATGTCAACAAACAAAGAAACAAACAGGAGTGAGCACCACAAGCTTCGGCCTCACGGCAGGATTCTCTAGTCGTGGTGGATCATGTTGAAGCCTTTCAATGGTCCCTGCGTTGAGCAGTTGCTGACTCTGCTGTATCACAACCCTTCATCACCCTAGTTCTTGGTGCGATCACTTTCTTTTGTCTGTCGAAGGGAACGAAAAACTGAGACTGACATCTAAAATGTGAAAGAGTTGGGAAAACAAACTGAAGACGCTGGTTGAAATTGTGATGTTCCGCTAGGTGATTGCTTTTTTATGGAGTCAGCAGTTTGTTACATCACCTCCCGGAATCTGGTTGTCTTTTTGACCAAATGCTCCAAGTGCGATGTCTTCTGCTTTATGGTGATGGAGTGGAAAAGTGCTTCTTCCTCCAGCGCTGATGTGAAATTTGCACGTCTTCAGGGGCGTGTCGTGCCAAAACAGCATGGCACCTGTGATACATCCAAATAACCCCCACTTTCATTCAACTACCAGTCAACATCCCATGGGCGCCATGGGCACGACGTGAATATGTTGACGTGAATATGTACGTCCAAAGTGTGATCATTGATGATTGGTGAGGTGCTGATGGTCGCATGAATAAGGAAACACATATATAAGTTGTGAGTGCCCGGGCTTAGATGCCATGAGGTGATCGACCTAGGGCCAGGCGGCCCTAAGGGAGACTTGAAAATGCCTGCCTTTGCCCAAACAAAACGTAAGTAGCAAGAAGCTAGTAGGAGGCCATCGCTACTAGGGTGAAGGACATCGCTACTAGTAGCAATGATTTCGATCATGTCAATGGGGGAAACAGCACCGAAAAACCCGGCACCAACCCGAACGCACCACGTGCTCTTGAAAAAAGGGGAACCCGAATGGACACCTACTGTTGCCGTTGCTTCGGACACCTAGGACACCGGACTCATGGCCTTTGCTTTGGGAGCTTCTGTCTTTGTTGAAGCCTTCTCAACCTGGAACCACGCGGAGCGGAGAAGAAAACTCAGGACTGCCCACATGTCCACGACACACCCGGTGGTGCTTTTTTCGGAGAAGATGCACGGGACCCGGGTTGCATGGGATTTCTCATACCGCGACGAGAAAAAGAAGCGATGTTGAGGTATACTCAGAGGTCGTCGGGTAGTGGGGTGATGAGGGGCACGAAAACAATTCGGATGTGCTTCCTTCCACATCTTAATCATCTCACCACGAGAAGCTACTAGGGGCTCCTGGCCTTACTACTAGGAACAAGAACGCTACGAGTTCCGGAGCATTTCGAGCATCGCTACGAGTTCCGGGGCTCCTGGCCTTCCACATCTTACCACCTCCAGTCCCTCCAGCCCCTCCAGCCCCTCCAGTCACTCCAGTCCCTTTTCGTTCGCATGGTCTCCAGCGAGAGCCATGAGCTCTCATGGTGCACATCAAGCGATGCTTGGACGGGCCCAATGGGTTTCAGATACAAGAGACTCTACACTCCTTGAAATCATCGAAGTCGAACAGTGCGGCCTCTGGAAGATCTTGTTCCATGATTCTCTGAGGGAGGGTATCTAAGGGTCTTTCAATGCCTTTCGGTATATATATATATGTGTGTTGTCCTACCTGTCAGAGCCAGTACCCTGGATCCGATCCGAATTTGCGGCCGAAATCCGCGCCTTGATTTTGGCTTGTGCTTCGAGCACCATGGCAACCGTCACATACTTGGCCACAGCTTCACGAATGTGCAAGGGCATTCCATTCCTCAGACCACAGAGAAACCACAGAGTGCCATTTTCGAAGAGGGCACTGACTTCGGGCTTCGGGGAAATCAAGCTTGCTTGAAAACTGCGTTCGGTCAGGTCCGGGAAATGGAGAGGAGTCTACATTCAACATCCCAAGATCCCCAAGCAACGGCCAAAGAGAAAAACATCAAAATGGCACAACGTATCAAAGCGACATGAATGTACTCACTACTGTCAAACACAAAATTTCTGCAATCAAGGTCATTTGTGACATGCTCACACGAAGTTGGACCCCTTGGCTGACCTTGGGCTCACCTCAGAAATGGCTTGACCATGGCTTTATGAGATCTCATGGGTAGAAGGGTCGACTTCAGAAGAGATCCTTTGATGCTTTTTCGGTCACATCCCACGTGCACGACACACCTCACCATCGCCTGCCAACGCAACACCCCCGCCCACGGATCGCCACCCCGCCACTCCACGCGGTCTTCCAAGGCGCTCAAAGACCAGGGGAGCATTGGTGTTGTCGAGTGCTTCCAGGCCACAGCGTGCCAAGAAGTACGCCAGGTTGGCACCAAGGCCCTGGAAATCCACCACTTCGGTGGTTTGGACGAACAATCAGCCCAAATGGTTCGGTCGGTCGATCGAACCATAAAGCCATAGAAAAGACCCCGCTGGATGAATCATCCAGGAAAGGTACCGGAAAATGATGGGCAAAAGATGCAAACAAACCTGAAGACCAGACACCTGCTAGTAGCTGCTAGTATAGAAGTAGTGCAAGCATGGACTATTTCAAATACCAAGGAACAATACCTTACTAAACTTGACCCCTCCAAATCACATCCGAACCGAACGAAGAGCTCCGATTTCGGTGGCCCTTCTTCGGACCGGACCGGTTTCGGTCGCCCCCCATCGGAGCGACGCGGCGCCTGGATGTTGGCCCTTCCGACCACCACGTTGCCCCAGAGACTCGGGCAGGACCGCGGAAGGTGAATGGAAACATCCGACACGTCCGGGACCGTTCTCGGAGTGGGTACCCGTTTAAACAGTGAATGACCTCAGGGGGAGCCCATCCAAGTCTGATGCTGGTAAAGAGGATGAATTGGTCGACTCAATCATCGTTGAGTAGACGTGATTGAAGTTGGGAAGGACCCAGGAGACCACAGATGTTCCAAACTAGGACAGCAAATCCCAAAACCCTTGTTCCATAGGTCCATGCTGGCTTGGATGATGGTTGCTTGGATGTCATATGGGTCCCCAGGCCCTTTACTTATTGTCACCAATCGTCACAGATCTTGCCCTTTCGTGCGGGACCCCACGATCACGATCCGTCACATGGAGGACGATGCGTCGTCTTCACGGCGGCTGATGCGGCTACACCGATCCATGTCCCACACAACGATTCCAATCAAAAGAATCAACTCTTAACGTTGTTCATGCCTTTTCCCTTTGCCATCTGAGGCTCTGTGTGTTTGTGTGTGTGTGTGTCCATCTTCATCCACCTCCCTAGCGAGTTCTTGTTGAAGCTTTCCTGTTTGGGGGAAGAAGAGCTTGCACAGGCGACAAACCTTGTCACAGCCCAAGGCCTGCACGGCCGACACGTCGACGCCGCCCACCGTTGCTCGGGTTCACCCAGGCGTCTGTTGTCTCGGTTGGGGGCACGATACCTGCAACCCCCGACATGGAGCAACCAGAGTTGACCAAGAGAAATGAACCTGCTTTGGACCCATGGTGATGGCCAAACGGCCCGAACGCTCCACGATGCGCTCCGCGATGCGCTCCGCGATGCGCTCAAAAGAACGCCAAGTGACCCTTCTTCCAAACTCTGTGCACAGAAGAACTCAATGGCAGCCAGCGCACTCACGCAGTCCGTCTCAGCAGATCGCTGGCGTGGGATCGAACAAACGGGCGGCTTTCAAAGGCTCAGTAAGACTGGCCACGCGCGCCACCGAATCCATCCATGCCCCAAACACTGGTCCCGACCGAAACCATGGCCAAACCGCGAAACCATGGTCCCGACGGAAACCCTTCAAAAGCCAAAAAGTCCTTTTTGGGACACCAAACGCCTTCCGACCAAATCTGAACGATCAGGGACTCGATCGGTTTTTTACATCGATTCAGGCAGCGTCGAATCAAACGTCCCGGACGTGCCGCCTGTAAACCCGCAGGGGCCCGCAGCCGGTAAGACCGCATTTCTGAGAAAACCAGAAACCTTAGACACTGTGGAGGGAATAGACATGAATCGACCCTGCAACAGGCCATGAAAACGCATAAGTCTAAGCTAAAACATGTAATGTATCTAATTGGACCCCAAGTTGGGGTAATTGGCGGAGGCAAACCAAGCACCCGCTTGGTTCAAACCCTGAATACCCAGCAGTCACATCCACTGAGAAAGGGATCCGGACGAAGTTCAGAAAGGCCAACCCCACATTCCGATGCTTACGCTTATCCTCGCAGCCGCATCAGTCGGATTGGTCGAACGACGTGGAGAGCCCCTGCGTGGTGGGCAGCATGTGGGATCGCCACAATAAATACGGATGAAATAAATTAGCAAGTCGATGCACTGTAATTCGTATCTGAATGTTCAAGCCCTCGTCGAGTATGTTGCCCAAGCACACTGACACATGTCCTAGTCGCGGATTTTCCGAGGTTCAGTGCATGTGTCGTCTGGCATTTCACCTACCAGATCTGACATCCAGGTCCTCACCCAACGTTCAGCCCTTTGTCCAAGGAGTTCATTCGGGTTTAGGGTTTTCCGGACCCTTCATGCTTGATCACTGGCTCAGACTTCAACCGGGCTTTAACATCACACTTAGTCTGAACCCGTCTTACCAACGGTTTGAAACGGTTTGAAATGAGCTATGACGGCCAAGGCCCGACCGTCGACACTGTGGACACGTCTAGTGCATGTGAAGCCTTCGAGGCGTCGTCGGATGGGAGACCCCAACCACCACGGCCGAAGGGACGCTGTCGATCGGCTTCACGATGCGGCGATCGACCCGCCCCGAAAACCCCCGAACACCCCCACACCGCGCGATCCGGGGGCGGTCCTGCGGAAGATAAACGAAATCATATTTGTGTGGAGCTATAGTGTCAAGCGCATTCCTGAGCGGAGCCAGGGATCACCGCGGAGTCCACGGAGCCCGAGTCTGAGTCGGCTCCGTGGACCGCCGTCGGCAGAGGGGAGTGACCTTCACCCGTCACCGGGGGTCCGGATGGTCGGGGCGTCCCAATGGCCAAGGGTGGTCTGCCAGAAGCCGTGGATTCGCACCCAGACTCCTGCGCTGGTCGCGTCTCGCCGTTCTGCTCCTGCGTCTCGCGTGTCGCCTTTGTTCAGCCTACAAGGGCCTACATACACCCTACATCCTGTCACAGACCTTCCCTGAAGCAAAGCATTTAAATGACCCCTGGGAAGACCGCCATGTTACTCTACAAACAGGATCTGATGCATCTTTTGAAAGGGGGCAGGATCTTCCACCGATCTGGCTCGCAGGCTTCACCGGCCCTACGGCCACCGGACCGGCCACCTACGGCCACCGGACGTGGCTGGGCCCGCTGGGCGGCCCGGGCAAAAGTTTCCCCGGTGTGACGCGCGGGGGAAGCCGTGAGAGCATCACAGCTGTGACGCCATCTTCAGGCATCACGGCCTCCCGTCCGCGCCAATCCACCTGGGAGACCGGGATCCGGACCCAACCGTACCGAAAAAGCTGCAGAATGGCATTGGAAAAGAAGACCCAATTTGGTGCGAGGGCACTCCAACACGTGCTGAAGAAGGTACTCCTAGACGAAGAACACGTCACCAATGAAGATACACGGATACAGAATGATACAAATATACGATTATGTTATACAAAGCCCCAAGTGTTCCTAGCGACACCTCATCAAAGCGAATGGCCCCAAAAATAGCCACGATTGGCTTCTTTTTTCTGCAAGCGGGATTGGTTCCAAGGATTGTTGGCCAAGGATGTTCAACATCTTCAAACCCTTGGCTGCAAGGGTATTGTAGAGGGTCTTGTCGTGTTTCCAGGTGATCTTTTGACATGAAAAACAACTCAGATCAACTCAGCATATCTCAGCATCCAGATCATCCACTTCTTCCACCGGATCATCCAACGTCATTTCTGAGAGTCCCATGTTTCTCGCGCCTCAGCATTAGGAGAGAACATCTTGTCCTGCCCGCCACGTCCGCTCCAAACAGAGATGTCCCATGCCCAAAGTCGATGCTCCAGAGTTCTCGAATGGCCAGGATGATGGCAAGGATTGGCATCAATTCCCTTGTGTTGTGTTTGGGGGTCAGTGGTCAGCCTTGAAAAGCAATTATATAGTCTTTAGCAAGCTGTGAAATCGCAGAAGCCAGAAAGCGTTCTAACATTCCAAATCGCCAGCCCTAGCACGTGTCATTGAGAAATGTGGTTCTTACCAGTAGCTTGAGCTGCCGATTGTTGTGGCTTCGTAGCCAAAGCACTGCAGTCCAACCCGGGTTTTTATGAAAATGGCTCCTCGGACCTTTTATGTTATCGCTTTCGCGAGTCCCGCCCACCCTGCCAGTCCTTGCTTCCCGTGACTCAATGCTGCAAGAACGCAACAAACCAGCGAAGAATAAGTCTTCTGCTGGATTTGAGCCACAAATTAGCTGCAGAGTGGATGGCGTTCCAAATCTCTGAGAAAACGGCACAAAATCATATATAATATAATATAATATAATACAATATAATACAATATATAATATATAATATATAATATACAATATATAATATATAATATATAATATATAATATATACTATATATATACAATCTGCTGGGGAGATCGGTGAGTCACTGCCGGAAAAAACCTTGACACCCCGTCAACCTCAAAACCCTTCAAAGGGCTAGGGGTCTTCCGTGTTCGACACAGGTCAAGCCTGATGGGACATTGATGGGACATTGCTAGAGATCCAACCCACAGCCAGATCTTGCAGTCTTGGGCTGCATCTGTTGCAACCCGCCCGAGAGTGGTGGGCCCACAGGGGCCTGTGGGTCTTGGCTTCACCCTTTTCCAGCATGTTCGAGACGCTTTTCACCGATCAATGATCAATCAAACGAAACCATCAAAACCTGACTGCCCAAGCCAACGACCAACCAAGGGCCTCGAACGCCTGGTGCGGCCAGGCTCCCGGACTCCCAGCGAGTCTAAGGCGTTTCGCATGGCCTGCCGACCGGGTCGCTTGGAGCGAACTGAAACACACAGCGCCTTCGACTACTTTGGTCATAACGTTCAAGAGGTTAGCCTCGATGTTCTGACAGCAAACCCGCAGAAACACCTCAAAAAACGCCCCAGCCATGTTCTGGGCTTCACATCAGTGGCTCTCATCCCATCCACCTTCCCCATCCACCTTCCCCCACAGCAATATCTTGCTTGAAAGCAACCCGCCTGCGCATGGCCGTCGCCTGCCCACGGCGGATCTAAACCTGGTCGTCCTTCCCCATCGACTGTGAGTCCCGCATGAGAGTCCCACAGATGGGCTGGAGTCATGTAGACTCTTGATGAATAAAACCCCCAGGCCTAAAGATCTTTTACAATCAAAATGGTTTAAATTAATCAAAAGTCTACATGATCCACACCGTAGAACCATTCACTACAGTGGAACAGTCCACTTGGAGTGAGAATGCCAGGAGTTGCCATCAAGGCCCCTTCTAGACGTCTGAATCATGCATTGTTGGAACTTGTGATAGAATTTAGTTGTGAGTTGTGTGTGCATGAACACACCAAAAGGCAGCTGCTTTCACAAGCTTTCGCAGGGCCCAATGTTCTCAACAAAGCTTACGGTGCACATTAATGAGTTCCTTTGTATAAAATATTTCATTTGATACAACCTTGCTGATCTCTCTCTCCCTAGAAAGCCAGCTCAGCACCCGTTAAAGTCATCTCGTTCCGAAACACATGTGCATTCCCCATTTCTCGGCCGAGTTGGTGCCGCGTGGATGCTGTGCTGCAGGTTGGACGCAAAACACAGATAGCATGGATGCTGCTTCCAAGTCCTGTGCCAGTCCAAACGTAGTCCATCCGTGTCCATCCAAAATCACTGCAAACACCTGATCGATACCCAAAGCTTTTTTGAAAACAAACACCGGATCTGATACCCAATTGCCCATTCGCCAAGGCAGATCCAATGCCCCACTGCCCCACTCACTGCGATCAGCAACCTCCCGAGGTACTTCGAACCCACCCCCCTTGGCAACGCCAAGCGCGGGAGCTCGCTTCGCAGAGCGCCGCCTCCGCCGCCGCAAGCGCCGCCTCCACCCTTGGCGTGAAGAGGGTGACCAGTGATGCTACGTTCGGGGCTCCTGGCCTTACTACTAGGAGCATTCTTGCTTCTAGTAACTAAGGTAATCGTGTATTGTTTCTTGGAACTTGGGTGCCCGGATGGCCAACCACATTGTTGTTCATGCCCAACTACTCCTTTTAGAGCGCCCAAAGCATCTGTCAAGCGCCCAAAGCTTTGATTCCCTGTTTCTGCAGAGCAGCTCTGGCCTGGATGTGGGATGTGGGATCCTGCCCCCTTCGATTTAGCAAGATTCTGGACCACATCCCTCAAGCTCTGATGTCATACATAGAATACAGGCTTCATTGCATCACCTCACCCAACTTCCTGCTGTCAAATCTGGGGATCAAGCCATTGCCATTCCGTAGCCTGCAAAAGGCAACGCGGAAAAAAAGGGTCACGGCTGGCCCTGTAGCATGGGCCGCAAAAAGTTCCAACAAATGTTGGGAACGTGTGGTTCTTGTTTCTCTAACCCAGCCCGTGTTTTCACCCACTCCAGCGACGATTTTGGAGAGCTCAAAAATCACACGGTGGCTCTCTCCGACTCCTCGCATGGGAGGTCGATATCCCCTTGAGGCTTCGGTTTCTTAGGGTCGATTCGTTGACCCCGAGCCCAGGGCCTAGCCGCCTAGCCCCTAGCATGGACAAACTCGTCGGGGTACGCCGCAAGGAACATATACAGTAGGTCTATATATATATATGTCTGTTTTCACTGTATATTCATGTTTCACCTTGCTTCACCATCCTTCACCAACACGAAGGGAAATTCCACCTACGCAAGAACATGGACATGACCGACGCATGCCTGTCACAAGCAACAAAAAGAATCGGCGGAATCCTTGCCTCCACAGCCACAGCCACCATAGTTGCCACAGCCACTGCCGCAGGCGTTGCCGTAGCCACAGCCGCTGCACACGCTGTTGCCACAACTTCCACAGCCATTGCAGCCGCCACAGCCGTTGCAACCACAGCCGGCGCAGCCGCCGGCGCAGCCGCCGGCGCAGCCACCGGCACAGCCGCCGGCGCAGCCACCGGCACAGCAGCTGCCGGAGCCGCCACCGCACCCGTAGCAGCCACCACAACCACTGCAACCGCTGCCACCGCAGCCACTGCAACCGCCACCGCCGCATCCACAGCAGTTACCGCAGCCACTGCAGCCGCCACAGCCTGCACAGCCGCCACAGCCACCACATCCGCAGCAGCCACTGCAGCCGGGACAACCTCCACAGCCACTGCAGCCACCACACCCACTGCAACCACAAGCATTGCAGCCACAGCCTCCACAACCACCACAGCCAGTGCAGTTGCATCCACCACAGCCGCCACAGCCTGCACAGCCGCCGCAGCCAGCGCAACCGCAGCCTGCACAACCGCCGCAACAGCCACAGCCACTGCCACTGCTGCAACCGCCACAAGCTCCACTGCAACCACCTTGCAAATTTTGTCGTTGGACGGCGTTCTGATCATGGGAAGTATGTTCTACCATTCGACGGATGTTACGTTCTACATCATTCTACTGATGGACTCTTCTTGATATCTTACGATCTGAATCCTAGAGCTGGCGCTTTTTCTTCGCGTCTGGGTGTTTTTCTCTGTCGGCGTCGTCTACACCGATGTGGGGCACCCGGAAGGGCTGCAAAGCGATTCTCCGGCTGGTACAAGGTGGCCAGACCTCAGGCATCGAATGACCCACGGTGACGAACGCCGACCCACGGGGCGAGGACGATCGGCGTCAGCCCGCGGTAGAAAGACGCGCGGCCTGCGACATGAGTGAGGGACTCCAGCGGCGAAAACGAAGGCAGAGAAAATGGCGCGGTTGGTTGGGCAGATGTCCCGGCTGAGGCTGAGGTCCACTTTTTGAAGAGAACAGAAGAAGATACAAGTAACTTGTGGTATGTTTTAGACTCTTAGACGAAAAGCTAATGAAACTGTCCAACGCATCACCGTCGCCCAGGGATGTTTTCTAGCCGCTGATTCTGCCCACGAGTATCACTAACACAAATCAAGAAAACTGTAAGAAACCACCCCTTAGTTTCAAATCGTTTCTGCTGCTTGTCCTCGATCGACTGTCAAATGTCACAAAAACAACTGAAGCCCTTCAGACAGACTGGAGCCCTTCAAGCGCTTTTTGCTGTGCGTCCCGGGCAGTTCTTCATGTAGTCAACCTTCTGGTTTTGCACATCCTGAGCGTCGGAAGCAACACCGAACAGAAAGCACTCAATCTGGATCTCTCAATAGGAGACTTGGAGTCGAAGACCAAAGACGACGTGCGCCAAGTGCGCTGGACCCTTCGATCGACGAATCTCTCGTTGAGGAAGGCTTCCGTGAGTCCTTCTCCTGAGAAAAATAGGATATTGAGCACCAACTCATAACCACATCATCCAAAGTTTGTCTCATCCGAGTCTCATCCCCATGCAAGTGAGTTGCCGGTGTTGAAACAGTTTATTGGTTTTTTTCGTCAAGAAGACCGCTCCCCTGGAGCCATCTCACCCCTCCCATGCGTGCGGCCCGCATCGGCGTGCGCACCTGCGGCGGAGATGCATGCCTGATTGTGGCAACAGCTCTGGGTCTCAGGCAATGGCCCTTCCTCCAAATCATTTAGCCAAAATCCTTTCCTTGATCTCTGAAAAAGGATCTTGGGATCTTTCTGACACATCTTCCAACAAGGTGCCTTTTGATGTCATTTCTGTTCGTTCATGTTAGTTATTGCAGTTGAGAATCATTCATGGGCCTTCCATTCCAAAGCAAATGCAGTCGTGGGGTAAACCTATTCCGGTACTTCCTGACGGACGACTTGTGTTCATCAACGAAACTTCCACCAACCCTGGGATATCCTGTGGATCTCCACCTCGATCTTCCCTGGTCTTTCCAGAAAAGCTCCAAGTTGAATGTCGGTTGAAACTTTCTTGGTTTTGCATGGTGGTCATGGAGTATCAACTACTTGCAGGATCCAAGACATCTCTGGATTTTGCTTGGCAATCTGCGACTCGTCGACTCGGGAGTCAGTCACCGCGATCGCATGCCGTGGGGACCCGATCGAACCCCGAGACCGAGACTGCGCAGGCACAATGCCAAATGGTATACGATGCCAATCGTATGTACACTTGGAGAATAGTTCGGTGTTTGGAACAAGCTCCCAGATACTTTCCATGTGAAGTTTGACCTGAAGAAACAGTTGCGAGTGAAACTCCACAAAGCGAAACTACCGAAAACATTGAGACTCACACTCCAAACAGCTGAGCTTTTGACATCTGCTGCTGGTGCTGCTGCTGCTGCTGCATCTGCATCTGCTGCTGTTGCATCTGCTGTTGTTGTTGCTGGTGTTGTTGCTG